CCACTGAGCCAACTCTGTGCATTGTAGTCATGATCTTTGCTGGGCACTCGCTGAATAAACATATGGTAAAGAGAGGGCATCAGGAAGGGCTTCATCTCCACTGTCTGGGTCTGGGTCTTCTCATATTGAGTGTCTAAAGCAGCTTTTCTAAATGCAGTAGCTTTCGTATGCTGTTGAACTCCAACTCCCATCAGCCTCAGGGAGTGTGGCCAATGGTCAGGGATTATGGGGGCTGTAGTCGAAAACATTTGGTGGATGCCAGATTGGGGAAGATCAGTCTATAGCATAAAACAGGCCACCAGCAACTGATTGATGCCTCATGAAGCTGCCTCAGTTTCCTATTCCATCTGAGTTCCCATTTCAATCCCCCCCTTCTTGTTTCTCCTAGCTTTTGAAAGTGTTTTCCTAAGTAGTTTCAGAACAATTCAGAAAATGTTTTCCAGCAACCTTTTCTTCATGTTCCCCTAGCTGTCTGAGAATAAATTGCACAATGTTGGTGTGCAGTGCTGTGCAGCATAGCAAAACCAGAAAGGAATTACTTTCACTTGCCTTCAAGAACAGGAGCAGTATTGCACTGTTGGAAGAAGAAGAAGAAGAAGAAGAAGAAGAAGAAGAAGAAGAAGAAGATGTATTTGAGCAAAACTGTACCAAACCCAGTGAGGTTTACTTTTCGGTAGACCTGCATAGAATTGGGAATACTAATAATAAATAATAAATAATAAATAATAAATAATAAATAATAAATAATAAATAATAAATAATAAATAATTCTAATCTAAGCTACCTATTGTGAAAACTGAAGCTGTGTGTGTGTGTGGGGGGGGGGTTCATTTAGGAATACAGTCGTACCTTGGTTTTCAAACAGCTTAGTTCACGAACAACTTGGAACTCAAATGCCGCAAACTCGGAAGTAGGTGTCTCGGTTTGCGAACTTTGCCTCTGAAGCCGAACGTCCAGTGCAGCTTCCGATTGGCTGCAGCCAATCAGAAGCCACGCCTTGGTTTCCGAACATTTCAGAAGTCGAATGGACTTCCGGAATACATTCTGTTCGAAAACCAAGGTATAACTGTAGTTGATCCAGAATGCTTTTGTCTCTGGCACCACCAGCACATGACCTCCCCCTCGCTCTTCCCTAGTAAGGGAAAAAGGTCCCCCACCCCTAGTTTATAGTCTTGGTTTTGGCAATTGACTAAAAGACTGAAGCACACACATTCCATTATTTTCCAAGTACGTCCATGGCGCTCATTCTATGTCAGACTCACTCTGCCCACCCCCTTTCCTCCATGCTATGTGTTCTTGTGTAATTCTAAGCAGTCGTCAGGCCACAGTGTGCAAGTTCAAGGGTTTAATAATGTATTGCCTTAAAAGCGCCATTGCACTGATGTCACGTTTCAGAAGTCCATTGGAGGCAAATCCTCAAGCGAGCCGGCGTTCATCAGGCCAACTTCGCAGAGACAGATCAACTGGATTGTTCATCGGCAGACTACCTGACCCATAATATATGGGCAATTTACACAATTTTCTAAATGACAGTATTTTACTGAATTTTGTTTTGAAGTGTAATGTCAAATCCTGAGATGGTACAATATAGCTGTCATTATAGAATATAAGCCTACACTGCTCAGAAAAATTGTGCCCAGAACAGAGTGATTGACAAGGTGGCCTGTCAGATTTCCGCAGCACAATACGCGCTGCCACTCAGGTTTATTTATTTGGGATATTTCCCCTCACTCGCTTGACTTAGAAGAGTCCACAAAGGGTCTAACAGCAGCAGCAGCAATATGCAGAAAATAAATCAGGTTGAAAACAATGAAGACCAATCAGTTATTAGCACTTTAGATTGCAGATGAAGGATCACAGAATAGAAGGGTTTTCTCAGATAAATAAGCTGAATGCCAAGAAGTAGAATCCTTATGACTGACATCTTGTATTCTGTATAAAGAGAATGGCATTTCATTCTGAATGGGCTCAGAGGGAGACCTGCAGGACCATAGGAAGCTGTACTATTCCAAATCAGACAACTTGTTCATCTAGCCAAATATTATCTGCTGTGACTCAAGTTCTCAGGTTGAGGTTTTTCTCTTGACCTTGAAACTGGGGCCTTCTAAATGCAGAGAATGTGCTCTACTTCTGATCTATACCAACCAGATGCAGTTAAAAGCTGGGAGGCAGCCTTTGGAGGTGCATGTGCTTTTCTATAAGGGAATCTGATGCAGGATTGGTGATAGCATTGCATTCTTTACGACCTGCTTACTTTCCAGTGTGCTTTACTTGTCCGTGTGGTACATAGGCTGAAACCCTACCTGCCCGCGGACTGTCTCGCCAGAGTGGTACATGCTCTAGTTATCTCTCGCTTGCACTACTGCAATGCGCTCTACGTGGGGCTACGTTTGAAGGTGACCTGGAAACTACAACTAATCCAGAATGTGGCAGCTAGACTGGTGACTGGGAGAGACCACCAAGACCACATAACACCTGTCCTAAAGACCTACACTGGCTCCCAGTACGTTTCCGAGCACAATTTAAAGTGTTGGTGCTGACCTTTAAAGCCCTAAACGGCCTCAGTCCAGTATACCTGAAGGAGCGTCTCCACCCCCATTGTTCTGCCCTTCTGGCGGTTCCCTTGCTGCGAGAAGCCAAGTTACAGAGAACCAGGCAGAGGGGCTTCTTGGTAGCGGCACCCGCCCTGTGGAATGCCCTCCCATCAGATGTCAAAGAGAAAAACAACTATCCGACTTTTAGAAGACACCTGAAGGCAGCCCTGTTTAGGGAAGCTTTTAATGTTTAACAGACTACTGTATTTTAATATTTTGTTGGCAGCCTCCCAGAGTGGGCGGGGTATAAATAAATTATTATTAGTAGTAGTAGTGGTGGTAGTAGTAGTAGTAGTAGTAGTATTTTGACACAATGAGTCTCCAGTGCTCCCTCTTAATGAAAGAATACAGGCCCCTTAAAGAAGCCATTGCTGGAACTTCTCACCATTTCTGGAAAGAGGGTGATCCTCCTTAGCAATATGTGTTTTTCTTGCTCTTTATCCTCTCCACATGCCAAATGCCTAACCATTATCCCATCAAAATATTACTGAGTTTGTTACCAGAAGAAAGAAAGTCAACTCCTTAGGTGCATTGCTTCCAAAGTCCTAATGCATGTATGCCTTGATGTAGAGGCAAACATTTATATTAAGATATGCAAGAATTTATGAGGTTTTTGCAAAATATATTTGACTTTTCAGTCTCACACAGAGCCTGCTGAAATGGAAAGTTTGCTCAGGGGATTAGCGTGAAGCACTGAGTTTCTGTTTATCCTTCCCTACGGAAAATTTTGCGTATGCAGCAAAGAGAGGAATGTGCAATTTCAGTCAAAAGAAAGCCTGGGATGAATGATGCTCGCATAGGTGATTCACATTTTGAAGAACTGCCTCGCCAGCCATTTTGCGGACTCATCTTTCTTAAGGTACATTAGCTCCTAGCCTTACTATGGCAGAATGACTAAACCCCAATCAAAAAGGCTCACATCATCAAACTTGCTTACTCAGGAGTGGCTCAGTTGGCTATGACAGACCTACATTCATGTAAATATGTAGACAGTATGCCACTTAAGACTTCTTAAGAAACAAAGAAAACACATGCAATATACCTCTTACTTCCAAATCACAGATTTGCAACCAAGCCAACCCAGGGTACACAAATACTGTGTACAACAACTGTTGTTGTAGCTGTTATTGTTGTTTAAAATGGATTGCAACATGACAAGAGAGGAGCAGTATTTGGAATACCGGAGCTCAGCAACTCCTTGGCGCAGTTGTCTAGTTCTTTGGATTCCGGTTACAATATTTCAGTCTCGAAGGATTCTTCAAATTGGGGGCAGGGGTGGATGGGGATATAGGAAGAGGGCACAAGACTCTAGTTTGCTGGACTTCTCTAGCATGCATATGTATATGTGTAACAGTAGGGTGAAAGAGAGAAAAAAGAGCTTTGTGATATCCCTTGGGTATCCCTCCATGTGTGGGTGCTGTGCCCTCACAAGGAATAATCAAACCATATATCTCCTTTCAGAAATACAGCATGCAATAATTTGCATTCATTGCATTCCCTTCATCTGACAGTCCACTGGGAGATTCTACATATCACATTTCAGAAATCAGAATAAAATTAGATGATATCATTTGGAAAACACACACACACACACACACACACACACACACACACCAATCCCATCTTTTTGTGTTTATGTTCACTGAGACATTTATATGTGTCTGATCATTTATCACTGTCTGCTGTAAACTCGGCTGAGTTGTTGGGGGATTAGGTACAATATAGGGAAGTTGTTCTCTCAAGAGAACGACATTTTTCAACGTATCAGATCTGTAATTTGTGCAAAGAAGACAAAGCAATGTATTAGAATTCTGCAGCTCTCACCAATGCCTCTTATCAGCTCTATGTATTTTATTATGTGCATAATGTTCAGACTGCTTTCCCTGAGGAGGTCAAGTGGAAGCTCAGCAACTGTCTCCTCCCTTGGAGAATGACAAGATTGCACACACTTCAGTATGGCTTTACCTTGTACCTTTGCCCATGGTGTGATCAAACCAAAATTAAGTACTCCCATTTAAATTATTGTTATTGTTGTTGTTGTTGTTGTTATCTTATACCCCACCTTTTTACCTGACAGGACTCGAGGCAGCTTACAAATAAAAATAAGAACCATTAAAACATAGAAGAAACTATAATTAAAACAACAATTAAGCACTGAAAGAATTAAAACTGCATATACATCACTTGGAATCGAAGTATTATAGAGTTGGAAGGGACCATGAGGACCATCTAGTCCAGTGATGGCCAAATTTGGCCCTCCAGCTGTTTTGGGACTACAATTCCCATCATCCCTGACCACTGGTCCTGTTAGCTAGGAATGATGGGAGTTGTAGTCCCAAAATAGCTGGAGGGCCAAGTTTGGCCATCACTGATCTAGTCTAACCCCCTGCAATGCAAGAACCTTTTTGCCCAACACAGGACTTGAACCCACGGCCTTGAGATAAAGAGTCTTGTGCTCTACCAACTGAGCTACCTAATTACAATAAAAACAGCACAGCACCAGGGCTTTCATTAATAGCAGTCGGTTGCTGAAATCTGCTGGAACAAGGAAGTCTTCTCTTGCTGGCAGATGGGCAACAAGGAGGGAGCCAGTCTAGCTTTGGAGTTCCAAAGTCTGAGAACAGCCAGCAAGAAGTCCCTCTTCCGCATCCAGTGAATGCCATCCATCCATCCATGTCATTGCATCCATCCATCCATCCATCCATCCATCCAAACTTATGCACTGTTAAATGCTTTATAATGGGAGAGATTCAGGCATATGCTTAACTTCCCCCATTCAACTCCACATCTACTGCAATAGATTTGGGAATGAGGGAACTGAATCAATGTTTCCAGTTCTTTGCTGTGCAAAGGACCACCCAACCTCTCTCTCTCTCTCTCTCTCTCTCTCTCTCTCTCCCCCCACATTCAACTTCGCCAGTATGTTTGGAAGATAAAACCCACTGCATTCAGCATAAAACAATCTCCAGATAAGCACAGCTTCAGAAATGTGTGTGTATGTGTGTTTTTAAAGAAAAGCAGTAATCACCAGGATACCCTGTCCTATCCTAAATGCATATTTGTTATTGCAGGAAATCTTCAGAGCATACCAATAATAACCAGGGAAATGTTGAACCTTTATTTGTAGAGGAAGGAGAAATTAGATATCTGAGAGGTTAATGAGTTAATAAGTTCTGAAAAGAGAAGAAGAAATAGGGAGAGGCAAAGATAGACAAAGAGAGAGGGAGAAGAAAGAATATAAAGGTCAAACATTGTAATTAAGGTGCAAGAGTTCAACTGGATAATTTGTTCCTTCGTTAACTTTGTAACATGGAATTGTTTCATCTTCTAAATTTAACAGCCGGCCTATGGTTATCGCTCTCTCTCTCTCAGAATCAGAGGTTTCAATTCATTTTGGATGGCAGAAAGTTTTCCTTTTGAAACCTCCAGAGATAGCTTTAGCTTTTACACTCCGAGTTTTACACTCTTAAGTTTGAAAATCCATTACCTACCTCATCACACCAGATGCTAGCTGATAGCTTTCCTATTCCTCATCCCACTCTCAAATTATGTTCCCTAGTTCTTTTATGCTATTATTTATTCAACTTCTTACACTTCCAGGTAAAGATGTTGACTACTGTGCTACATGACAGAGATATTGGACATGTTGCGTGGACTGCGTTGAAATCAGCGGGTTGTAGTCACCTAAGTAATACTCAGAAGACACCGACTGAAGTCAATGGATTTAAGTTAGTCGTGTCCAATAAATTCAGTGGGTTTACTCTGAGTATGACTTAGTTGAATACCACCCATGGAATTAAACATAGAATAAATGTGTCAAGGATTGGTGGTCAGTCTTATTTTAAAATGTTTTTAGGCATTCTTAACATTCTTAGATGTTCTTAATGTTTTATTTATTATGCGTTTAATTGTATATTTTCCTGCTTTGTTGTTTGCTACCCAAGGCTCCTTGAGGGGGAAGGAAGGGCGCAATAAAAAATTAATAATAGGTAAGTTTTCTCTTAGGGACACGGGTGGCACTGTGGGTTAAACCACAGAGGCTAGGACTTGCCAATCAGAAGGTCGGCAGTTCAAATCCCCACGGCGGGGTGAGCTCCCGTTGCTCGGTCCCTGCTCCTGCCAACCTAGCAGTTCAAAAGCACGTCAAAGTGCAAGTAGATAAATAGGTACCACTCTGGCGAGAAGGTAAATGGTGTTTCTGTGAGCTGCTCTGGTTCGCCAGAAGTGGCTTAGTTATGCCGGCCACATGACCCAGAAGCTGTATGCCGGCTCCCTCGGCCAATAAAGAGAGATGAGCGCCGCAACCCAGAGTCGGTCATGACTGGACCTAATGGTCAAGGGTCCCTTTACCTTTTACTAAGCTTTCTCTTTAACATTAGCTCCCCCTTTATGTTGACAGAAACCCTTTTGCTGGACTCTGGCAGTTACTCAATTCTTAGACTATGTATTGTCAACTTTGCATTAGGTCTGGTTGTGATATCTCAAAACCGACACTGTAGAATTAGAAAGGGTTCAGAAAAGGACAACTTAGTTATCATGGAGCTGAAGCAACTCTCCTTTGAAGAAAGGTTACAAAATTTGGGGGCTTTTTTTTAGTTAAGAGGAATGAGGCACAAAGCATACTAGAGGTGCATAAGATTATGCAAGACATGAGGAAGAGGTTTCCCTAATATTAGTGCCTGGGGCCGTCCAAGGAAATTGAAAGTTAGAAGACAATGCAAAGTTCACATGGCTGGAGTTGGACTCTGCTACACAGGGTGATGGCCACCAACTTGGGTGGCTTTCAAAGGTCTTTAAAAGACAAATTCATGGAGTATAAGGCTATCAATGACTACTAGGCTATTAGGAAACAATGTGCATACCTGTTTCTGGGAATCACAATTGGGGAGAGAGCTATTGTGCTCATGTCCTGTTTGCAGGCTTCCCATAGGCATCTGATTGGTCACTGCAAAAACAGGATGCTGGTGGAGGTCCTTACACCGATACAGTGGTACCTCAGGTTAAGTACTTAATTCGTTCCAGAGGTCTGTACTTAACCTGAAACTGTTCTTAACTTGAAGCACCACTTTAGCTAATGGGGCCTTCCACTGCCGCAGCGCCGCCGGAGCACGATTTCTGTTCTCAACCTGAAGCAAAGTTCCTAACCTGAAGCACTATTTCTGGGTTAGCGTAGTCTGTAACCTGAAGCATATGTAACCCGAGGTACCACTGTACTATGTTGTACTAATTTTTCTTCATCATTAAAACTGTGGTTTTAATCCTGAAGTCCTATTCAGTCCTCTCAGGGAGCCTGGGATTGTGATGGAATTTGCAAGCAACTTACAAAGGTATAAACATTCACAAAGCTAGCTATTATCAACCATACTGACACCTCATAAACATATTAAATTCATTTATCAGCCACTATTTTCCATAAAACCCGTGTTGACTGACACTATCAGCAAAGATAAGGACAGAAATATAATTACACTCCTTTATCAGCTTCTCCATTATTTTCACTGAGATTTATGTCAGACCAGCCAGCTAGTAATTACAGGGTCATTCAGTTTGCTTTTATGGAAATGTAAGTCTTTTGGAGGTTTCTCAGCCTTCCTCAGAAAGTTGTGGACTCTGCTTCTTTGGAGGTTTACAAGCAGAGGTTGGATGGCTATATGTCATGGATGCTTTAGCTGAGATTCCTGCATTGCAGGGGGGTGGACTAGATTACTATTGGGGTCCCTTCCAACTCTGTGATTCTAGGTGCAATCCACAAACACTGTGTTCAGGTATCTGGCCTGGAAATCACTGGTGAGTGGCATCATGCGGAGGGGTGTTTCTAGGACTAAGGTGAAATTGACAAGCTCCTTCGCTATCTTTGCTATTGCCAGGAGGTGTTAAGGTTGTTAAAGTAATTTTGTTACCGTATTTTTCACTCTATAAGATGCACCAGACCATAAGACGCACCTAGTTTTTGGAGGAGGAAAACAAGAAAAAAAATATTCTGAATCTCAGAACCCAGAACAGCAAGAGGGATCGCTGCGCAGTGAAAGCAGCAATCCCTCTTGCTGTTCTGGCTTCTGTGACAGCTGCATAGCCTGCATTCGCTCCATAAGATGCACACACATTTCCCCTTACTTTTTAGGAGGGAAAAAGTGAGTCTTATAGAGCAAAAAATACGGTATACGTATAGGACTGAAATTTGGGGATTTTGCATGATTTTGTTGTTGTTGTTAAAGCAGCAGTTCTCAACCTGTGGGTCCCCAGATGTTGTTGGGCGACAACTCCCATCATCCCTAGGTAGCAAGGCCAGAGCTCAGGCATGATGGGAGTTGTAGTCCAACAACATCCGGGGACCAATGGGTTGAGAACTGCTGCACTAAAGGAATCTGGGGGTCCTGGATCTTGTCCGAATTCTGCTTGAGGGGCTAGGACCATGCCAGGACCACAGGAACACCGGGGTGAGCTTCAGCCGATTTCATTGATGTAGCTCCCTCATTTGGTTTATCCTTCCAGACTCCCTGTAGGGTGGGCAGGAGTCAGTTAAAGTTTGTCAGTGCCTAAGCCAATACCGCTCACATTGTGTAATCAATAAAGTTGTGCCCATCAACCTTAAACTAAAATATGTGTCTGTGTGAATTTATTTGGGGGGGAGAGGGTCCTGGGGTCCTTGAAGTGCAAAGTTGTGCTGTGCTACAAACATTACCAGGTGGGTTTTCTCCCTCTGTTGCTTTTCGTGCAGCCATCATAACACATAAAGCAGTCCTCTCTTACATGCGTCATCTAGAACAACTGCTTTGTAAGCACCGCTTGCATTTTACTTGTTCGAAGCATGCTTTGGCCTGGGTCTCTGTTTCGATTGATTTATTGAACAGTGGTGTGTGGACTTCACAGCTGTTTTCTGTGCACGGTCAGATTGAACGGCCTTTTGAACCATTCCACAGTTATTGCTCTCTGAATCTATTTGCCAACACACACACAAAAAGGGGGGAAGGAAAATCACTAACAGATTTAGGCTTGTAGCTGTTTTGGTCTCAGAGAATAATACTAAACAACTGTCTTTAGCTGGAATATCTACTATGGCAGGAGTAAACAGACCCTTATCAGGCTATATATATATATATATATATATATTCCAAATAGAAGAAAATGCTTCAGTCATTGGTAGGGTGTGGAGAAGCACCAAGTATTTTCAATGAAAATAGTCAAGTGTGATTATTTGACCTTTTTCCTCTCGGAGCTAGCACAGGAGTATATCAAATATATTAAAGATAACACAATATATCCTCAAGATCTTCCAAAAATTGAAGAAAATGTGAACTCGGATATCATATAAAAGCGTAGCATCAGTACTTACACTGAGGTAGAGTGAACCTGGTCCTTAATTAGCAATGAATCCATTCTGATTTGTTTACAGTGTGGGTATGCAACAACAAACATCCATTGTGCATTCATTCTGCTTTGCTTGCAGGGTGTTTACACGTCTCCCCATTAATCA